CACCTGTGTGATGTTCATCTGAAGTGTTTAGAAATAAGCAGTAGAGGGAGTTGTCTGTATGTTTGGATAAAAATTTAAATGTGTGTTTATGGCCTTATCTCCCTCTGCTTGTGTGTGCGTGTGCGTGTGCGTGTGTGTGTGCGTGTGTGTGTGTGTGTGTGCGCGTCCATGCGTGTGTGCGTCTGTGCGTGTGTGTCCACTCTGCAGTTGCTCTAACATGATTGCATCAACCTGCAGCCTCTCACAGTCGTCCTCTCTAATAGCCGCTGCCATAAAAAGCTGATGTCATGCAGCCGTTAGAAAGGACGGAAATCAAACCCCTGCTGGAGAACACACTGTTGTGTATTGACTGTGTGACGTCTGCCTCTAGTGTCGTCTTCATGAACTGTTTATATCCTTCAAATACTCTCATCAGATTCCCCCATGTGACAATCGATCATTTGATAATTCAAATAATATTTTCAAGATGTTTATTTCTTCTTCTTCTCCTCCTCCACTTCCACTTCCCCTTCCTCTTCCTCCTCCTCTTTCTCCTCTTCTTTCTATTCCAATTCCTATTCTTACTCCTCCTCCTCCTTTCGTCTTTGGTTATATTTCTGGTGGCATATGATCCTGGATTTCAAAATAAGGGTTTGGAAAGTAAAAAATATATATTTATCATCAAAAATAAAATGATAAGAAAAACAGATGGCAGAGATCCTTGTTTGGAGAAAGTTTGGAGGGAAAGCTGAACACACAAACCGCTCACCCATTGTAAAAGTGTTAAGATTTGAATTTGAGGAGATGACGTCATGTTGTTGTCCCTCATGTGGAAGCTTTATTTTAAAAAAAGAAGAAGCTCTGTGCTTCAATATGTCTCTCTCTCTCTCTTTCTGTTGTTTTTAGGGAAATGGTGGAACGGCTCCGTCCTCTACAGAAGAAGGTGTTGAGGAATTTGTGGGTGGAACCTATGTGAGATTTGATGCCCCAAAAGCCAAGATAAGGAGGAGCTGGCCTGGAGTCCGCGGTACTCTCCTTTTCTTTTTCCTCACAGCTCAATTAGAATCCTCCAGAGGTTGCTGTGAAGAGTTTTATGTTGTCCTGTGTTTGTGCGTCTTCTCCATCAGACATGATCGTGCATCGTTACGTGGTGTCCCGTGTGATCTGGGCGTACATGCTGTCGATCGCAGTGACCTACAGCATCACTCTGTGCCTGTTCCCCGGGCTGGAGTCAGAGATACGAAACCCCACCTTAGGGGAGTGGCTCCCCATCCTCATCATGGCCACCTTCAACATGTCGGACTTCGTCGGCAAGGTGACGTATCGTAGACGTGTAGCTTTAAGACTGTTTGTATATAGACCTCATCTCTAATCATTTAATATAACTGTCACTGAATGAATGAACAGATTCTAAAAACCATTGCAACTAATGCATGAAGAGAGAAATTTATTTTACACTTTTGAACTCTATTTTAAGTTTGTGCAACTGACCAGGAGTCACAGTTTCTTAAAGAATGATCGAAGGCCACATTTTCAAGGACAGTTAATTTTTCTGTGTTTTGAAGTGTCACACGTTGCACCACATTACACAGACGCTAATTTTAGGAGATGAAGGGGTAGAATAATAGGACACACACACACACATGTTTGTACAGCTGTCTTAGTGAGGACACTCATTGGCATAATGCATTCCCCAGCCCCTTACCCTAACCATCCAAACTAAATGCCTAACCCTAACCCCTAACTTAACTTAACCTACCTTTAACCCAAACCTAAACTTAAACCTAATTCTAACCCCCCAAGACAGAGTGAGGACCGGTCCTCACTTTGATAAAAATGTCCTCACTCCGCAGGTTAAAGGCGAAGACTGGTCCTCACAAAGAAGCTGTACAAACACACACACGGGCAAGTTTAGTGTTCACTGAATGTGTCTAGTGCCCCCATGTGGCCAAGACGGTTATTGAAGTTATTACAAGTTAAAGCCAAAATAAAACTCAACCCATACTCGTGTTATTTAGACGTTTATCACCACAGGTTCAAAGTCACAAAAGAAAAAAACTAATTTTAAGATGAGGTTTGTGTGAGTTGACTTTTGAACCCAGTGTGTTTGTGTTTGTTCTATCACGTCTATATTCATTATTTCTCTTGGAACCATTAAAGGTGTGTGATGGATCTGGTTATATTCATATATTCCTCAAACAGTATGGGAGTGATCCTTTTTCATTCCACACTTCCCAAGAGTCTGGTCTGGGGGGAATATGGATTTTTCTCTCCCTTAATGTGACGTTCCACTGAAATATCCTCTGCTCCTCAGATCTTGGCAGCACTGCCGTACGATTGGTCCGGAGGCCGCCTGCTCTTCTTCTCCTGCCTCAGGGTGGTCTTCATCCCTCTGTTCGTCATGTGCGTGTACCCGGCCCGTGCGCCCACCCTGTCCCATCCCGCCTGGCCCTGTCTCTTCTCCCTCCTCATGGGAGTCACCAATGGATACTTTGGATCTGTGCCCATGATCCAGGCTGCTGGCAAAGTGCCGCCCGAGCAGAGGGAGCTGGCAGGTGAGTTGTTCACCTTGTTTAATCTTAGATTTATTGGAAAAACATCATAAGAACACGTTTGACCCGTAACGCTCTTTCACCCGAGGTCCTGTGTTTCAAAACACGGAGAGTATGAGGTCGATGACGGTTATCTGCTGTCACCCGCTTTCCCCCTTCACACATCATCTTCTGGAAAATCTATTTCTCTGTTTCTACATCGCTGTGCTCTCTGCGTCTCTCTGCAGGAAACACCATGACAGTCTCTTATATGACCGGCCTGATGGTGGGCTCCGCGGTGGCGTACGCAGCTTACAGCTTCACCGCTCCAGGAGCAGGAACACGCCTCTCCACGCTCAACATACACATGTCTGCCAACGGTACAGGCTACTGAATGTCATATTAAACAAAACACACATATACATGTACACACACATATATCACAGCCATTTACTCACATGAGATCCTGGAGGGAGAAGCAGCCCAGACTGACGGACGTCCTCTTTTCAAATCATGCTTGGATTCGGCTCATTTGCTAAATGAAGTGGGATAAAGAGACAAAGAGTGAAATGTAGCGTCGCAGTGAAATGATGTTAAACAGTGAAATGTAGCAGATTAGTGAACTCACTCACTCACTCACTCACTCACTCTCCAGCCCGGTGATCCAGTGACCTTCACATGTTCCGCCGTGATGAACTTTTTACCGTCGGAGGTGAAGAACAGGAACTCAGCCCCTCGAATGTCTCACAGCGTAATTACCGTCTGCATGCGAACACGTCGCACAGTGTCAGGTCAGGTGGTGTCTCACAGCGAGGGAATGAACATCTCACAGTTTTTCATCGGGACCTTGTGTCTTGGGTCACAAATGTTGCATTTCACAAACCGCTGTGTAAAAAAGAGAGGCAATGTTTTTCCAGCTGTTTCCTCATTATACTCTCCTCAGTTGAAAATAAGACAGAAGTTTTCTGACACCGACCACATCCATGGTGATTTGATTTGGTTAATGTGATCGAAATCCTCGTACTTCACCATCTAAAAACAAACTAGAGCTACTGCCCTGTGGTTGTGTGGCTCCATCAACCAGTGCAGTTTCAGTCTACACACAATTTGACCTTTGACTCCTAAAATCAAATAAATTCATCGTTGAGTCCAACTGAACATTTTTACCAAATATTTGAAGAAATTCTCTCAAGGGGTTCTGTATATATCCTGTTCACAAGGACAAGTTTCCGGTGCAGAGACATAAAAAGTGACATAAAGGACATTAAGGTTAATTTACAGCCTCATATGAATGTATGTAAACACTCCTGAGCTCAGGATGAGTCATCGGACGTGTTATTATATTTTACAGGAAGAGAAAAACAAGAAGAATTTGATATAAAAAGACATTCGGCAGAGAAAACACAGAATTAGAACTTGTACAGTTACAGTTTATCTGTAATGATGTACATGTCAGACCCGATGCTGTGTTTCTAACACCGGTGTATCACTACGGATCTTTAACTAACAAAAACAATGTGCTGAAATCCTCCATCTGCTTGTTTGTCTAATCTGAAATGAAAATGTTTTTTGATTCTTTTCAGCCTTATGTTGTATATCTAAAAAAAAATAGCTGCTTAAATGAATAACGCTAAAAGAAGAGGAAGCAGATTTCTGTCCAGAGAGCGTCGCCTCGCCCTGAGACGAGAACAAAACATTGGTATAAGTTTTTGTTTTTGTCTTTGTCCCTCTGAACTGTGTCTGTGTTTAACGTCCATGTGATGATTATTGGGGGGAAAGACGATTCGTGCCAAAAAAGGTTTCTGATCAGTGTCGGTAGCCGAGTAAAGAGCGAATGTGAAGTTGTACATTTACAGAATAAAATGCACTGGAGGAAGTGAAGAGCTTTTATTTCACCTTCGCCAAGGAGGTTATGTTTTCACCGCTGTCCGCTTGTTTGTCACTTTGTTGGTGTTTGAACAGGATCACTCAGAAACTACTGAACGGATTGTCTGGAAACTCGGTGGAAAGATGTCGCAGGGGTCAGAGAAGAAGCCATTAAAGTTTGGTGTGGATCCAGGATTAGTTAGAGTATCAGGAGAAGCACCTGTTTCCTTTTTTTCCTCCCAACACAGATGCAGGAACCAACTCAACTTCTTAGTTCCCGTTGGATTTGATGAATATTTCAGCGATAAGAGACTCACTCTTTATACATTATGAAGAAAACAGGCCACAAAGTGCACTTCATTATGTAGGTGACGGCCTGAATGGATGCGACAGTTAGCGCTGTTTGAAGAATGGGAGGGTGGCTTGGGGAGCTAACCTCATTGCGGCGTGTTTGTTCCTGCTGTGCTGACGGGGCCCCTCTGCCCCGGGGCCCCTCTGCTCTCACTGAGCTCCTCGGTTTCAAGGTGTTTTTCAGGTATTTTTGGTCCAGTGTCTCTTTGAAGGACATGAAAAAGTCTCCTCGCTCCCGTTTCTCTCCATCTGTGGAGAATCGATTTGAACATAAAATGACAGGTGTAGGTTTCTTTAGATTAGCATGGTAGCTCGTGATAAAAACCAGTTTGACTTTAAACTGTTCAGTGGAAATAATGACGCTTTGTTTAAAACAGCAAACAGCCACTTTAAAATCCCGTTAATAACATTCTGACATGTTTCACCACAGTGACTGATCGAGAGTTTATCAACAGATTTGGCTTCAACAAAAAAAAAACAGACACAAAGTTCCCAGTGCAAAGAGAAGCTCATTACCACCGAGTAATGTAGGTTTGCTTGTTTGCAACATTAAGCAAAAACAACTGAATGAAACCAGGATCCAGGAATACTTAGTCTCTTTCTTTGACATTAGTTTTATTTATTTTTTACATTTTCACCATTTTTCTAGGGAACAATTCAGGATCAGGATGAAATAAATCTGACATATGTAAAGTACTGATATCTATGAGTGTGTAATTATGGGCAGCTTGAATTTGAAGAGGCTGTTGAAGAGGCGACTGGAGTCTGGAGGTTGTTTCACTGCTGTGGGTGAACAACATTCCCTCCACAGCTGAGGTGACTGAGCTGTCTCGAGCACACACACCAGGCCGGGTAAAAAAAAATGTGGACAACAACTTATTATTCTGCTTTTTATCTCGTCCCCAAGGTCGAATATTTGTCAGCTTGCCACCGCCGCCTATTTTTATCAGTGCGATAACGCCCATGTTTCTCACCATTCAAGAGTTTCTACAGATGCTGATTATTTTAGACTGCACACTGTGAAATATCAGTGTGGTGCAGAGAGAATGGTGTTGCATTTACAGGAGGCGTTATGACTGTGAATCACACGATGTTCATGAGCATGTTTTAAGTTGTTTAAAGTAAGAAGAAGTGGCAGCAGTGAGCTGAGAAATTCTCTCATGAGGTGAAACAGGACTGGATGTAGATTTAACTCTCAAAATTTAAATCCAAATATTTTTTGGTTAATCTTGAAAGTTTCAGAGCAGGTGAAAAATGACTCCTGTAACTCTGTTGTACCTGAGCTTCATGAATTCACTTTAACATGCCCGACGTTTTACCATCAGCAGCTAAATAAACAGCTCTTGTGTCTTTGTGTGTTGTTTCATATTTAGATGGAAGCAGAAAAGACATTTTCACTCAGTCGGGTTCAGTTCACAGCTTCTCTGTGTCGGTCAAAACAGGAAGTGACCTCCATGTGGATATTATTTTCCTGTTTAAACAGCTGTGAGCACAACAACAGGTCTGCACCACACAACCTCACAAGATATTCCTTCCGTTCAGCTCTTGCAAACACATGCATATGTCAGTTCTATTTCTGAGAAGTGTCTGGGTTTGTGTGATAGGTTTGATAAATGTGTCACTAGAAGGGAGAAACGTTGCTTGGTTATTCTCAGAGAAACATCTTCATCAACCCTGCTGAAGTGCCCTTGAGCAAAAATTATCCCCTGTAGGGATCAATGAAGGAAATGAAGCTGTAGGGCGTGAAAGAAATCTGTGTTCGCTGCTTTTCTCCAGCAGAGAGCGCCGCTGTGCAGAGAAGGGTAAGTGCAGTGCAAACAGAAACCTGAGGAGAGTGTGAATGACAGATCAGAGGTTGAGTCTTTAATTAGCTTCTAATTAATTTCTGTGTCAGAAAATTAAAGTAAAAACTTTACGGTGTGAAATCCTCCCATATTTTCTTGACCTCTGATCTTTCAGCTGCAGAAGACACACAATCACTTTCGCAAACCTGGATCAGACAATATCCAAATCTTCTGCTGCAACTTGTGTTCATAGTGTTCACAGGTCAAAGAGTTCTGGTTGACTGTGTGTGAACTCGTCACATGAATGTATAAGTGTGTGTGTGTGTGTTAATTCAGGATGTCGCGCAGGGAAAGAAAGTCTCTGGCGTGTGACAGTGCATCTGATCATTAGTCATTCATGCTCCACATACAGTGAGGAAGAGAGGAGGAGGAGGAGGGGAAAGATGGAGGAGACAGAATAAGGTAGAAAGAGAGTTGAAGGGTAACGGAGGTCTGGTGCTCTGTTCTCCTCTCCGTGTTTTAAAGTTATAAACGCGCTGCTTCCTCCCACATGGGGATCATCTACCTGTATCCTCCTCCTTGTTGTTCCATTAATCAGCATCACTTTAGACCAAGAGATACGAAATGCAGAGTCAATCTTTTCTCAGCCTGTTTGAATAGTTGAAGAAGTTTATTGATTTGAAGCTTCAAGTTGAATTGTTGCTGTTTCTGTGGTTTGGGTCGAACACAGTTAAAGTACAGAAGGAGACATTTCTGAGGAAAGATACTCACTTATGGGACATCCATCCATCCATCCATCCATCCGTCCGTCCGTCCGTCCTTTCGTCCAGTCCCAGCTGACTTTGGGTGAGAGGTGGAGTTCACCCTGGACAGGACGCCAGCCGTTCACGCTCTCATTTACACCTACAGACAATTTAGAAGCAAAGAAAACCCACACAAAGACAACATTAAACTCCACACAGAAAGACCCTGGTCAAGATGGGATTCAAACCAGGAACCTTCTTGCTGCATGGCCACCACTGCTCCACCATGCCACCCTGCAGCTTGTCATGATTTTACACATTTCTTCCTCTTAAATCTTTGTAAATGTCAGTCAGTAGCTTCAGAGGTTCAGTGTTTTCTGGTTGCATTGACAAAGTGTGTTGTCTTTTTCCTTTTGTCCAAAATAAGAGTTAACACTCAATAAGATGAATAAGTAACGATGTCTCTCCACGTCGTAAATCTGTTACTTCTGAATATAACATCAATGCATCATCATCTGTTCCTCAGAGAAGAAGATTTCTCTTCCCGAGGTTTCTTGCTCTTCTTCAGTTTTTACATTTCATAAATAAAACTTGACTCAACAGAGGAGCAAAGCTAAAAAAAAAACAAAGAGAGAAAGACAGAGGAAGACAGAGGAAGATAAACACAGGTTATATTTGGAGTTCAAGGGGCGGAGGAGGGTGGAGATGGATGACAAACAGCAGAGGAGCGACAGAGAGAGGAGACAAAGACAAAGGAAAGGTAATGTAACCAAGGTGAAAGAGGGCAAGGGAGAGAGGGATGAAGAAAAATGGCTGAAACATGAAGGGTTGGAGGGATGAGGCGAGAGAAGGAGCGAGCGGTGATGGATGAGTAAAGAGAAGAAGTCAGAGAAGAAGGGATTGGTTAGAAGGAGAGACAGAGGCGCCATGAGAAGTGACACGATGCTCAGATACGTCTCATGAGTGGGATGGATAGAGGACAGAAAAAAATGTGCAACAGGAAATAAAAATGAAAAACGACAGTAAACTTCCCGAGCGGTGAGTGACGGCCTTCACCTACAGGTGGCAGCCTTGATCTCCCTCGTGTCATTTATTCTCTGTTTTACAACAATAAAAATATTTGTAAATAATAGTCATATTTAAAAAAAGACATCATTTTATTTATTTGTACACATTATCATAATAATTACATAATAAAAAAAGAGGGAAAATGAGAAAACTCTTTCAGCTCAACATTTATTAATGATTACATTAAAATTAATGTGATGAATGAATTCACAATTTAATTATGTAAATTTAAAAGTCATTCATCATGTATTCCTCTTTCATCCGAAGCTAAGATGTTAGTTAGCATTATGCTACTACTCTGCTAGGCTAAGCTACTAGTGGATCTCTTCTCCTTTACCGAATTTACCTGCCGAGCATATATCTGAGATAATGAATCTTAATTTATCAATGTTGATATATTTTCATCTGTGGGGAAAAGTAGCTGTAGCGATGCCTTTTAAATTACACACTTATAAAAACATGTCAGAATAGAGATCAGTCAGATTCTGTTCTCAGGTTTGACTGAATATGTAATTATTGCATTTTGACAGTTTATTGCACCGTAGAAGCTGTGACGACTGAAAGACAGACCCATGGTTAAAGTGCTACTGCACCGAGACTGTAAATAAAGATGGACGAGAATATCCTGGATTTGGAGTCTGTGCAGTAGCGATCGGGGGATGGAGCCGTGGTGGCGAGGTCACACCAATAAACGCGCTCAGCCAAGCTGTCAATCACGACGTTTCACCCCCTCTTTATAGCTTCGGAAACGGAGCAACATCAGAGTGAAAATAACTAACGTTTTAGTTTGTTCCATGTCCCGTCCACTTACATGGAGGATGCTGGATTTATAACATAGCCACCAGGGGGCAGTCAGGAGGCTTTGGCTTCACGTTTGGGGAGAAGTGATGTGTCCATTTTCTTACACAGTCTATCAAACTGATTCATAGAAAAATATTAGAGTTTTTACAAATGAAAACAAACCAGATGAGTCTCTCACTGTCGTCGTCACCAACTCTTCTTCTTCTCTGGTTTTTGGCAGCTGGTCAGTCAGAGGAAACTGTTTCCTTCATCCTCAGAGTAAATTAAGTCCTCGCTCCCTCATTAGGACGAGCTGCTGCTGCTGCTGGATTCAGCCGACAGGTATTCACTGGGCATCGCCTCGTCTTCACAGTTATAATGGGATTTCATTCACACTGTCACTCCTGCCTGTGAGCCCACAACGGCAGCTGCATGCCTGTGTGTGTGTGTGTGTGTGAGAGAGAGAGAGAGAGAGAGAGAGAGAGAGAGAGAGAGAGAGAGAAAGACAAGTAAACATGCCTGAAATACAAAGACTGTGATGTTTCATTCATTATGTTGTCAGCATGAATAATAGATATCTAATTGATATGCAGTACAACACACACACACGCACGCACGCACACACACACACACACGGTATCGCACTCTGAACTAATATTTGTGAGGCTCAGTTGTCATTTCACATTCACATTCATCACAAGAGGCAAAAGAACAGATTGTGAAGAGATCAAAAGCCGCGGAAAAGGACAGACAGACACACAATCAAATGTGGAGGATGTAGAATAATATCAAATATTCCTAACCTCTGTAACTGAGAAGCTTTTTCTCTTCACTATAAATAACGTGTGGAAAAAGTACAAATTGTAGAAAAATCTCCGGCTACTAAAGAAAGATAATCTATTACTGTCAGATACTTTTGAATGTGTCATAAAGTTTATTGAAGAAAGAAATACAATATTTCTTCTCTCTTTCTCTCTTGATAAAGAAATAAAGAGTTTGTTGGAAATATAATAAAACCGAAGAACGTTCTTTCTTTGTGATAAAACATACTTGAAGTTGAGAGTTAGTGAGCAGACTCCAGACTGAAATAACAATCCTTTCAAACTGTTTGTGCTCATTGTGCGTTTAACGCCCCCTCACTTAGAGACCTGTCTCCTGGGAAACTGGTGTGTGTGCAACAACACACAAAACACACACATACACACACACACATTCCTAAACCTGATTCTAACCCTGAATACCAAAAACAGCCCTTTGATAAAGTGAAGGTCGTCAAAAGTGTCCTCACTCTGAAGGGTCTCTGCTCAAAATGGTCCTCATCGAGATAAATGTGTGTGTGTACACACACACACACACACACACACACACACACACACACACACACACACTCTCTCTTTACTCCCTCTGCTCAAACTGTAATGAAAGCTCAGCCAATAGAAAACCTGTGTTCGTGTGGTGTCAGCCAATCAGAACACTGCATGCTCACACACCCACTAGAGGGTGTGTGAGCTGCTGAGGCAGGAAGGGGTGTGTGTGTGTGTGTGTGTGTGTGTGTGTGTGTGTGTGTGTGTGTGTGTGTGTGTGTGTGTGTGTGTGTGTTAGAGGAAGCTCCCTGCAGGTTGTGATGTTGGGCTGATTTTGGTCCTTTGGGGGAAACGCGGCGGCCGAACCCCAGCCTGCTGCTCTCACCATGAAACAGGAACACACTCAGTTCACGTCAGCAAAGATTTAATTACACGTGGACACACAGGAATCTAGGAAACACACACAGACAGACACACAAACACACACAAACACGTACACACACCCTTGGCACTTTCAGAGTGCAGAGTCATGAACGGTCAGCGGTGGAAAATGTGTCTCCCGCGGTCAGCTCTGCAGAGGAAGCTGAACTTTCCTCCATTTTATTACAACCAGCAGCTTCATTACTGGGCTGCCAAAATGGAGGCCTGATGGAGTCCACAGTTGATTAAAGGGACAGACCACGCAAACTGAAACAGGCACAAAAACATTAAAGAACACTTCAGTGAGCCTAGCTTAGCATAAACACAGGAAACAGGTGGAAACAGCTAGCCTAGCTCTGTCCTAGTGTAAAAACAAAAATGTACCTTTTTGCCAGATGTCCCGTTGCGATCTTCTCGGCCAGAATCGTTCATCCTCCATGTTTGTTTTTCCTCTGAAGTCGTGTTCAACCACACTGTCCAATTACCAAACTGTTCCTTTAAAATACCTCAGCCGCCTCGTCAAGATGTCAGACCAAGTAAAAAAGTTAGCAGGTGAAAGTTCTTCCTGCAGATTTATCAGCGGGGTGAACAAGGAGAGTCAAAGTGGGGGATGAAAAAGAAAAGTGCAGTTTAAAAGGAAGCGTTTTTAAAAAGAGACTCAGAGATAAGGCCACAGTACAGTTCCATCTGTTTATTGATTAACTATAAAATACTGAGTTACTAAAACAATTTAAAAGAAACACTGATAAACATAGTTGCTGTCTGTAAAAAAAAAAAAAAAAAAAATACTTACACGTACAGTATAGAGCAACAGAAAATATCTGGTTTCAGGTTCATCTCTAAAATGTTTTCTTTTTGCATTTTTACAAGATTAGACGTGTACAAAGTATATTCTGCTTTTTCTCCCCTCAACACTGAAGGATCATTTACAAAACTTAGATGATTTTTCTATTTATTTTCAAAATAATCTTTATTTTTTCTGTAACAGGACGATAACGATACTGAAGGAACAGCAGACGAAGAACCAGCCTCCAGTCCACCTCTCTCTCTCTCTCTCTCTCATTCTTCTCTATCTCTCTCTCTCTCTCTAGCAGCTAGCTCCCGGTGCCTGTCAGCAGAATTAGCTGGAGAGGCCTGGACGATTGTTCAGAGAGGGGAAGCGAAAAAAAATCAAAAAAACAAAAAGGAGATGAGAAAATAAATCAGAACAAAAGTCAAACATATTAACGGTGACAGACAGAACATATATGACGTCAGGCTCTAAAAACTTATGACACCAAATAAAAATGAAGGCGATGTGGGGAATAAGTGTGTGTGTGTGTGTGTGTGTGTGTGTGTGTGTGTGTGTGTGTGTGTGTGTGTGTGTTGGACCCTGTTTGAAGGCCTAAGGCTGGACTTTGGATGGAGATCGTGGGCTCATAGACATTGGAAGGCAATAACTCACTTTAGAGGGTTATAAAGACGTGTACGGAGAGTTTGGGTGATGTGGAACTTAATCCAGGCCAGAGTTCTGCATCAACACATTTTAAAAAGCATCACGAAAAACTGCTAAAGACAGAATAAGATTAAAATTATTCACATGATTATCACTAATTCATATTAAAAACGAGAAGAGAACTTAAATAATCATTGCTTGTATACATTTTATAAAAATAGGACACTTACTATTTTTGTGTCATACATGTAGTGTTGATGGGCGTCATCTAACCCAATTTTAACTCTTGGCTTTAATTTAATTCTTCATGTGTTTATTTCTGATGTATTTAAAGTGTCCTTGAAAGGTGCCCGAAAATAAAATGAATTATTATTATTATGTATTTGCTTGAATGGACGATGAAAACAACCTGATAACAAAGTGGAACATTATCTTATTTATGACTTCACATTTCTTGTCACAGACGTCTGAGTCAAATCTACAGTAAAACTCGTGTTGATTATATTTTGTTAGACCAGGAAATAAACACACTAAACATCCTGTGTCTCAAATCCCTCAATGTACCAGATCACCCAAATTCACCCTGTGTGTGTGTTTGTGTGTGTGTGTGTAATATAAGGGGATAAGAGTGTGATGTGTGTGTGTGTCTCTCACACACGGAGAAAAAAGTGCTTTAGCAGCTCCAGGGGTAAACAAAGATTCATAACTGGGCACTTTAACTTGTTCATTCTGCAAACACAGGTACGACGTGTCTATCGGTTTCACTCCCACAGCTGAGGAACCGGCCGGAGATCCACTGTCGGCAGAAACACGGGTTTCAAACAGACGACTTCTGTGTGCGAAATACGAGCAGCAGCTGGAGGAGCAGCTGGGGCTTTAGCGGATAAGATTTTCTGGCATCGTGTAATGTCAGAAAACAGAAAGCGACTCTGTACCTGCTCAACCACTTTCAGCTCTAAGAGTCAGCAGATCACCAACCTTATTTTTACTGGGTCGCCATCGTGGCAGGATTCTACATAAATGTGCTGAAACGCTGGAGGACATCGTTTGTCATTATATCTGCGAAAATGTCCAATTAGCGACATCTTGGGTCGTCCTCCAGACGCCACGCAGCCGTCTCAGCGTGAATAAAACTATGATATATCCTAAAATAAAATCAGACAAATCCAGACAAAAACCAAAGGATCTCGAGAGTAGAAAATATTAAACCTATTGAATATCAACAAGACAATCTTCAGTCTCTGCAGTGACGCAGAGAGACGGCAACGTGGTAAGAAACATACAAGAAAATCAACATGATACCCACAGATATAAACCGTATATACAGCATTTACTGTATACTCATATATCTGATACACTCTGTACACAATAGTGTAGCCACGTGGGTTAAGAGCTCAGGAACGGAGGGTTGTTTCAACTCGAAATCATCAACTGTTTTTCCCTTCGTCAGCAGACTGGAGAAAATACCAGTCTGATTTGTCCCCCAGCACCTCGAGGGGCCGAGGGGAACGGCGGGAGAACGGGGGCGGAACCTACGAGGGATTTGGTGACTCGTCATCACAAGGCCTGGGAGAGTGAAGGCCACCCGAACGCTCACGACCCTGAGCACAACATTCAACGGTCTCACCCTAAAAAAACGGTTAAACTAGGCACGTAGAAAAAAATTCATAAGCAGCTGAGAGAGCCGAAAAAGAACAAAGTGTAGGAGGGGATGTGGACGTGTGTGTGTGTGTGTGTGTGTGTGTGTGTGTGTGTGTGGAGGAAAGAGGGGAGAGGGGGGGTTTAGCAAATACTCTGGGAAGACGTATACAACACTCCACTGCAGCAGAGCTAATTCAAAGTGCACTCATGTCAAATAGGAGCTTGGAGGGCGAAATGTGATCATAAGAGGGTCAGATGGACGTCCGTAAAACAGCAGAAGCAAAAGAAATATAAAACACATCCAACACGGGACATTCAGAGGTCGCAAACACTGCAGCCAAACCGACCGCATGAGGCGGCACTGCAGAGGATGAGCGGTAAAAATTTAATTGTGTTGATCAAATCAGTGCTGGCAGCTTTATACTGAACATCAGTGCCACGACCTTGATGCATCTCGGAAAGGCTGCGAGTGTTTGCAACCCTGAAAACACCTTAAAGAAAAGGAAGAATCCACCGTCAGGGACTCGTACACTGTTAATGTACCAGCTCGTCTTGTTCCGTACATTCATGGAGTTTACCCCATTTCTCTTTCTCGAAATATTTTTTTTTTTCTACGCCCCAGAAGCAGAAAACTGGAGCCTCCTCTAAACATCCACTTTTCCCTTTGCTGTTGTTCGACCTCAGTGCAAAAGAGGCGAGACAACGAAATGTGAAAATCAGCAGCTGTTGTTGTGTCATAGTGTTTAAATTATTCCTGGGTGGATTTTTCCTTTAACGTGAGAAACTCAAAGATTAAAATGAGAAGTGCTTTTCTTTTCTTTTTTTTTTTATAGTACACGGTTCCTTCCTCTCTCTTCAGTCTCTGAGGGAGTCAGAAGTTTTAGTTTCGCGAGGACGGATCTTCCTGCTCGAGTTAGGATTGTCACGGGGGAAATCGAAGGGGTTAAATTAAAGGAGGTTAGACTTTAAGTGTTTTTTATAAGTGCTCTCTTTTGGATTGCGACTCTACCTCTCTCTCTTTCTGTGCATCTCTCTCCCCTTTTTGCATCAGTCCGTCGCTCCTGCTGTTCTGTAGATACATTAATATGACTGTAACATGACTGTAACATCACCACGGCAACATCATAATCACAACGTCACACCACGTGTGTGTGCGTCCGCCCGCCCGTCTGTCTGCCCGTCCTGCAGGGGCGGAGGAAGACAGGCGGGCGGACGGACGGACACCTCTCTCCTGTATCACCATTCACAGTTCATTAAAGCTTCTCGACGGTTTACCTCTTTTAGAAAAAAGTACTCTGACATAAATCTGATACATGAAAATAAAACACTCATATTCTCCTCTATATAACTTTGTGTGTGTGTTTGTGTTACATGAGGTGAGTATTTACATGTGTCTGTGCATGTGAGTGTAAGTGTGTTTATGCAGAGTATATTTACACGTAGAAGGTGACTGAAGTACTCGTGCGTGTTCTGAAACGTTCCCGTGAACACGACAACGAGTAAAAGCAGTTTGTGACGATGGAGTCTGTGTGTGCAAATGTTTCAGGAGACTTGTTCCTTTTTAATACTGTCTGTAGTGTCTCCCGTCTCCGTGGTGGTGGTAGCCGACAGTCAGGTTGAAGTGCGTCATGGTGCTGGAGTGGTTGCGCTCGTCGAGTCACTGCAGCCAAAACATCAACCGTGAATGGACATCAGTGATTAGACCGGGGGGGTCGGGTCCAAGGTCGGTAAGTCGGGTCACAATTTCATTTCAGCGACTCATCCGAGTGTTTTTTATTTTAGCAGATGACCGGGACTCCGTCAGTGTTGAAGATCATGCCAGTGGTGGGTTCGTAAGTGCCGGCCAGGTAGTAGAGGTCTTCACTGTCAGCGTAGCGGCGCGTGTGTGTCATCTGCTCGTACTCGTCCACGCTCACCACCAGGCACTTGTGGCTGACCGTCTGCACGTCGTTCTCATCGCTGTGAGACGACTGGTACAGGGCGCGCTGCGGAGGAGACACGGACGCTTTTATTGTATCGTAAAACACTCAAGCGGACAATTTACTGCATTCTGAGGAAAAGCTGAGGAGTTGGCACAATAACTTGTTTTTCCTCTCACCTCCATGAAGTCTTTCCTCTGGATAGAAGAGTGCAGAGCTGCGGGTAAAGACTGACCACACATCTGATCCCAGTTCTGGAGAAGAAACAAGTCTTACATTCAGGAAAAAGCTTTAAATTAAACAAACACATTCAGTCAGGTGAGAGTTTATTCTTTGAACCAGACTTAGAAGTGTTATAATTCACTCTTTGTTTCCTGATGGCTTTTTCAGTTTAGTCCGTACCTCGGACTGATCCAGGGTTTGTTTGCAGAGTGAAAACACTTTTCTGAAGAAACTGAGCTGTGACCCTGTGATTGAAGTAACCGATAGATTCAAACGAGCGTCGGAGGTAAAATCACGTATTATTCATAAATATTTACAAGTAAAATTCACACTCTACCTTCTTGTCGGTGAGTTTCTTTCCAGGATTCGTCTCCTCTGGATGATAGAACCAGTTGACCCTGACCACCATGTTGCTGCCCCAGGACTCCCACATGCTCTGGATGCGGCCGATGAAGGGCAGGTTGGGCCGTCCGGCCGACAGGAACACGGCGCAGTCACCGATGCGGATCATCTCTCGACCACGAACGATGGCCTTATAGAAGAGCTTCTTCGCCTTGCCCTTCATACCGCGTCTCTGCAGGAGGTCGTGAGAGGACAAACTGGTCACAGAGTGAAACATCTGAGGACGTTACTTTACAATTTCGTGAGCGATGCCTCTCCTCACCTGAGTGGGTTTCCCAAACCACTTCCAGAGTTGTCTGGCTGGAAGAAAAGCAGAGATTTTGGGCCTGTTCTCGACACTGGGAAGCCTCTGACGTTTTGCCAGCTCCTTGGTGGTGGGGAGGTGGACCCCCTCTCTCCGCTTTGGTCTCCCCACTTTCCCCTCTCCTCCAATGGGCTTCGGTTTGGGAGGACGACCCCTTTGGCCGGAGCCCTTCCCGGTGGCTGGTTTACCGGGTTTAGAGGGAGCGGGAGCAGCAGGAGATGGAGAGGTTGAAGGGGAGGGAGACTCTGAGGGAGGTGATAGTTCCTCCTCTTCCTCCATTTTTATCTCTGCCTCCTCCTTTACCTCCTCTTCCTCCTCCTCCTCCTCCTCTTCTTCTTCTTCCTCTTCTTTAGTCTCCTCCTTTGAGTTGTCCTGTGCTGGAGGTGGGGAGACAGGGCCTGGTGGAGGTGAAGTCGTCCTCTCTTCATCAGAGCTGCAGGAAGAGTCATCAGTGGAGGAAGAAGAGGAAGAGGATGAAGATGATGAAGAAGATGAGGAGGAACCAGAGCAGGATGAAGAGGAGGACGAGCAGCTTGAGGTGCATTTCTTCTTTTTCTTCATCTTCCCTTTGTCACCTTCTTCTTCTGACTCTGAGCTGCTGCTACTCTGAGACTCTTCTTTCATCTTTCTCTCCTTTCTTTTCTCCACCTCCTTTCGTTCTTCTTTTTTAACTTTCTCCTCTCTGGTGTCCACCTCCTGTCCTCTTCCACCACCTCCCCGACTGTCTGCCTTCTCCTTAGCCAGCATTGGTGCTTTGTAGGCGGAGTCTTTCTCGGGCAGACCCGTGTCTCTATCTGGAGCTCTCAGCTTTGCTTTCAGTGGTTTTTGATTGGGCGAGGCCGTGGTGATGGGGGCGTGATCTCGTCTGATGCCTCGACCCTCGAGCAACATCAAAGCCTTGGTTTTCTTGGTCTTGGGCGAGGTCACACCTTCGTGGTCCAGTTTCACGAGGGGCTCTGCAGACACAGGCTTTCGCCTCACTGCCGAGCCTCCGCCGTCACTTTGCCCCGGGCTGGGCTTGGGCCTGGGTCTGGAGGACAGCTGGTCTGACGGCATCTTTAGTTTGGGTCTGGGGGCCGACGATGAAGACAATGAGGATGATGAAGGTCTAGGAGCCAGAGAAGAGCTGGGTTTGGATGTTGGTAGCCTGGAGATGGGGCTGGGAAGGAGTCCAGAGTTGAGGCTGGGTCTGCAGCTGCCGTGATGTTCCGAGGAGGGTTTGGTTTTGGGTGTGGAGGCAGAAGTGGGTCTGGCCGCAGATAAGACACCGGGCTTGGTCCCAGAAGACGTGGCCATGGGTCTGGACGTGGGTCTGTTGGTGGTGGGACTGACTGTGCTGATATTTTCTCTTTCTCTGCGCTGGTTGTTGTACGAGCTGAGGTTGGGTTCACTGTACAGGTCTACCGTCAGCACTTTTCCGTAAGTGGACGGGTAGAGGGAGGGAGGGAGAGCGCGAGCTGGTTTAGAAGCAGGCGCCGAGCTGATCTTCCTGGGCACCGGGCTGGGGAGGGTCGGGCTACTTGTGGGGGACGTGGTGGAGCTTTTGCGGCCTGGTTTTGACTGCGTCCCCATTGTCGGCCGGGATGCAGGGCGCGGCTTCTCTTGACCCGCCTTCTGAACGGAGGAGGTCCTCTCCTGGGCAGGTTTAGCTGGAGCCTGGGGTCTCTCTGCCGGCTGGGTGGAGGAAGGTGGAGGATCAGTTTTCTCTCGGCCATCCGCGGTCATGGAGGTTTCTGAGGATAAAAAGAAAACACAAGGAAAAGTTAAACAAATCTATTTTTTGGCCCAACTACACTGGATGTGCTGACGTTTCTATTGTGTGGCCTCATGATTTTTGTGGTCTGCAGCATCACATGCTGAGAACAATATCGGCAAGGAAACAATCCTGCAATGAAAACACTACATTTAAGAACTGCTTACGCAGTGGAAACAAAGCCAGAGTCAGCAAATCAGACATGCAACATACCGTGTATTACAGCCAGAGCTAACACACTCTAATCTCATGGGACGACAATGATACTGTTTGAGCAAATCTATTAAACTGACACAGGAGATGACAGCCATGGTCAAATATGACATGTTTGATGAAAGACGTTTCTGAGCTTTGAGCTATTTTTGTTGCTCCTGTTTTAAAAAAGACTCATCAGAAAGACGAGAGTGACAAAAGTACTTTTGCTCTTTAATGGTCTCTACGATAAACACGTTCACGTAAGGACGGCAACAAACCACATGTAATAACAATAAAAGTAGAAATGAAGTAAATTTCAAACTGCCTTAAATGGATAAGTAAAGCACTTGGGAGAGAAGCAAGATGAAATCTATCTTTTTATGACAGCTGTGGCTGCAGACGTCCTTTATTGATCCCATGGAATCACTCAGAGAAGAGAAAAGGCAAATAAAGGCAGAAGTGATGGCAGCACTTAACACAGGGTGGATTAGTTCTACTTTAAGCACCACCTCCATTATTTTTACCTCCTGTGGGAAACATTAAGGTTTCTCTGCCAATAATTCTAAGAGAAATGACACTTCAGTCATTTCTGTGAAACTTGCTTCCTCTACCAACTCACCAAGTGCACCCAAGTCTTTTTCGTAAATGGCAGCTGTCGACTATTTCTGTATGTTTTTCTAAATCTGCACATTTGTTTTTCAAAAAGTAAGATTTACCTCATTATTCTAGATGCTATAACAATTCACAATCTACATCTACCTTTGTAAGAAACATAGACTTGTCAACATATAGAAACACCTATAAAAC